ACAGCTTGCAGTTTGGAGATCTATCCTGGCAACAGTTTTCTACTGGTAAATGACTTTTCTTTTAGACCTGCGAATTTCAGCCCCACCAAAAAAAAAAAATTGCCCAACAAGCCACAAAATCCTGGGTACGGGCCTGCTTCTGAGCAAACTGTCCACGGACGGCAGCCTTAGAGCGTGGGTCTCAACCCTTCCCGCCGCCCTTCCCCTCTCTCCTGCATTCCGCATTTCCCACTCTGCTTAGCTTGAGTTCAAAACCTCAGGACCAATCCCCGCAAATTCTAAGCAAGGCTTTACCAGACTTTGGATAGGACACCAAGAGGACGTCGTTGTCCCTCGCCTCAAACGTCACCAGCGATCTTAAAAGCTCTGGCGACGATCTCATGGTGAAGGCGATCCCGTTGAAAGTGTGGATGAGATCCTCTTCGTTTTGGGCCGACATGGGTCAAGGGGTCCTGTGGATACCCGGTCGATCGGACTCTGCCGCAGCAGTTGGAGGATGGCGAGGCCACTTCTGTGCTCGACGGCTGTCAATAACCTCTGAGAGGGCAGAATCGAGCACCTTGTAACATCTCTGAGAAGCATTGCAGGACTTATCTTTATTGGGCGCGACAGCTGTAGAGCCATACAAAAGGTTATCCAGATAAAGGGGCAATTACAAAAAGAAAAATCTAGTGCAGATCAACACACAAGAGGAACCCCCCTGAGTGGAAAATAACCAGAAGCTCAGCATGCGCTCTTAGCAAACGGTCCTCTGAGTGTGAGTGGCTTGATTTCTCAGTGGGTTAATGAGTTCCTAACGAGTCTGTGTGTCTAGTTAGCGGCTCTGTAGAAATGCAGCTTTGCTTTGGCTGTAGCAGACTTCCCCAGACTTGTCAGATGAAAAGGAGCCGAGAGGAGGACTCCCGGGGGTTCAGTGGCTGGCGCATTCTTTTATAGATATAAAAACCTTCGTTTCCAAAGAGAGCTGGATTTGAGTCCAGTAGGATCCTAGATTTTTGGGACATCGATCCAGAGGATGAAGAGAGCTGCGTTTCTCGAAAGCTTACGCTACAAGACAGTTTCTTCGTCTTAGACTGTGATCACACACACAAAATAATCATAAGATCATAAGAACAGAAGAGAGGAGCCAATGTTGGATTGGGCCAATGGCCCATCCAGTCCAACACTCTGTGTCACACAGTGGCCAGAAATACCAGGGGCCATCAGGAGGTCCATCAGTGGGGCCAGGACACTAGAAGCCCTCCCACTGTTGCACGCCCCCGAGCACCTAGAATACAAAGCATCACTTGTCCCAGCCAGAGTGTTCCGTCTATAGAACATAAGCCAATGTTGGATCGGGCCAATGGCCCATCCAGTCCAACACTCTGAGTCACACAGTGACCAAAAATACCAGGTGCCATCAGGAGGTCCAGCAGTGGGGCCAGGACACTAGAAGCCCTCCCACTGTTTACCCCCCCCCAGCACCAAGAAGACAGAGCATCACTTGCCCCAGACTGAGAGTCCCTATCTATACCTTGTGGCTAATAGCCACTGATGGACCTCTGCTCCATATGCCTATCTAATTCCCTCTTGAAGCCGTCCATGCTTGTAGCCGCCACCACTTCCTGTGGCAGTGAATTCCAAGTGTTCATCACTCTTTGGGTGAAGAAGTACTTCCTTTTGTCCATTCTAACCCGACCGCTCAGCAACTTCATGGAGTGCCCATGAGTTCTTGTATTGTGAGAAAGGGAGAAAAGGACATCTTTCTCCACTTTCAATCCACTCTCAATGCACTTTGGAATCGGATTTTGCCCGTTCATACCGTAAAATCCAGTTGGAAAGCGCATTGAAAGTGGATTATTTAGTATGTGAGATCACAGCCTTAAAGGTCCTACTGGGCTTTTTACTATTTCGAAATTCAGAGCTCCCTTTGTTGGCCTCTCAAATGCCTGGAAATCTTCTTGGTCTCAACGTTATTCCTGAACTTGAATCTAGATCTTCTACTGTAGACCAACACGAGTACCCTTTGCAACTCGCTTCGAACAAACGATCCTTTGTTCCGTGCTAAATAAAAAATGCTTTTGCGTAAAGCTTAGTAAGTTACAATTGATCTTTAAAAAAAAAAGATTTATGAGCTGTCTTTCTTCCTTACAGAGCTCCAGGCGGGCGGCTTACAAACACAGATAGAACGTAGAATAAAACATAAAGCCAAACTTTAAAATCACTACTCGGGACTGCTACTAAATGTAAGCCAATGCAGTTCTGATCGAAACCATCTTCAGCTGGCCCCAAAAGACTGAAAGAAGAAGAAGAGGAGGAGATTGGATTTATACCCCGCCCATCACTCCCCGAAGGAGTCTCAGAGTGGCTTACAATCTCCTTTCCCTTCCCCTCCCCACAACAGACACCCTGTGAGGTAGGTGGGGCTGAGAGAGCTCTGACAGAAACTGCTCTTTTTCAAGAACAGCTGTGCCAGAGCTTGTGACGGACCCAAGGTCACATCAGCAGCTGCAAGTGGAGGACTGGGGAATCAAACCTGGTTCTCCCAGATTTAGAGTCTGCACACTTAACCACTACACCAAACCACTTAACCACTACACCAAACTTAACGACTACACCAAACTGAAAGTGAAGGGGACAGGTGCACCCCATCCAGGAGGTTGTTCCATAATTGTGGGGCTGCCACTGAAAAGGCCCTGTATTGTGTACCCACCAAATAAGCTTCTTGGATTGATGGGACACCCAGGGGGCCTCTTCCTGTGATCTTAATTGTAACAATACTACTTAGCGTTTCTGTTCCTCTTCTGTGTACAAAAATGCTCAAATATAATCCTTACAGCAATTCTGTAAGAGAGGAGGAGGAGGAGGAGAAGAGGAGGAGGAGGAGGAGATTGGATTTATAACCTGCCCTTCACTTGGAGTCTCAGAGCGGCTTACACACTCCTTTCCCTTCCCCTCCCCACAACAGACACCCTGTGAGGCAGGTGGGGCTGAGAGAGCTCTTGACAGAAACTGCTCTTTTTCAAGAACAGCTGTGCCAGAACTATGGCTTGCCCAAGGTCATCCAGCAGGTGCAAGTGGAGGAGTGGGGAATCAATGAAATGACGTAAAATGAGGCAGAAGCAGAGGAGACAAAAAGATTTGGTTTTCCAGTTCTTGCTGCCGGGTAATTCATGCAGTTTAGACATATTCTGATTCTCCTTAGGCCAGGGGTCCTCAACATGGTGGCCATGGAAACCACGGGCGCCTGCCAGTACCTTTCCTGGTGCCCACCGAGTGTTTTTAGAAAGTGAGCTTCTGACTGGCCACTGGAGATCTGACCGAGCAGATTTATTAGAAACGTTGCTTTGTCTGCATCTGCCCCCATAACACAGAGATCATCACTGATTCAATGTAAGGCAGCTTCATAAGACATCAGAAGAGCCCTGCTAGATCAGACCAGTGGTCCACCTAGTCCAGCATCCTAAGAACATAAGAAGATTATGTATGGGAAAGAGCAGGTAGAGAAAGGGGTACTTTTCTCCCTTTCTCACAATACAAGAACTCGTGGGCACTCCATGAAATTGCTGAGCGGTCGGGAATCAAACCCGGTTCTCCCAGATTAGAGTCCGCGCACTTAACCACTACACCAAACTGGCTCTGAGAGCAGCATACCCACAGGACAGGGGGAAGTAGGGTTGCCAGCCTCCAGGTGGGACCTGAGGATTCCCCAGAATTGCAGCTCATCTCCAGACTACAGAGATCAGTTCCCCTGGAGAAAACGGATGCTTTGGAGGGAGGACTCTGTGGCATTGTGCCCCACTGAGGTCCCTGTCCTCCCCAGGCTCCATCCCCAAATCTCCAAGAGTTTCCCAACCTGGATCTGGCAACCCTACGCCCCCAATCTCCTGCCACAGGCCAAGGGGGACCTGGCAACCCTGGGTGGAGGACGGGGGGGGCGTAGGGGAGAGAGCGGCTTTTCTAAGGCCACCAGGTGACTCTTTGGCAGAAGCAAGATTAGAATTCAGGTCTGCCTGGATCACAGATCATGGTCTTAGCCACTCATGACCACAGCTTGGATCTGACAATACGTGGCAGGGCGCCATAACAATCCCTGGAAACAAAAAAGTCACAGCGTACGTTTTCTTAGGATCATTCAAAACAATCTGCAAAACTTCTGAGTGCTCCAGACTGGGATGTTATAGACAGGTGTTTATATGTAAAAAAAGAGAGAGAGAGATGTTTCAGGGCTCCATTTAAGACCCCTTGTTGAACCCTGGGAAGAATTCTGGGCAGATTTGAATTAAAAAAACCCAAGAGGTCCTGGTTATGTTGGACTTTACTGCTGCAGTGTAAAGTACTGGGTCCGCCACATGGAAAACTCAGACCACGACGTGTGTTTACACACGTTTATTGTACTTCACACCTGAACTGCAAAACAGCCCTGCAAGGCCAACTATATACACACCCACAGTCCCGTTGGAGGGTTTGAATTTCCCGCCAAAGTTGCTATTGGAGAGTGCTGGGGGAACTAGGATCCTAGGCTCCTATTGTTTAGAGGAGCTAAGCTCCATACTTTAGCCGCAGACCCCTGGTGGCGGTCTGCGTACATAACATGCAGGAAGTGGTGGCAGCCAGAAGCACAGACAGCTTCAAGAGGAGACTGGATAAATATATGGAGCAGAGGTCCATCAGGGGCTCTTAGCCACAAGGTATAGGTAGGAACTCTCGGTCTGGGGCAAGTGATGCTCTGTCTTCTTGGTGCTTTGGGGGGGGTAACAGTTGGAGGGCTTCTAGAGTTCTGGCCCCACTGCTGGACCTCCTGATGGCACCTGGTCTTTTTGGCCACAGTGTTGGACTGGCCATTGGCCTGATCCGACGTGGCTTCTCTTGTGTTCTTGTGAACTTCATACACTTTTTCATTAGCAAAGTGTTCCTAGTTTGAGAACAGGGTGGTACAGTTATAAAAGCAGATTAGCCGGGCGCTGGGTATTAATATAGCTATTTGAACTGGATGCCCTAGGGTCGGGGAGTTCAGGGAACATCTTGGCTCCACCTGCTTCAGTGACAGCTCCTTCTGCCTCCCCAGTCCAGCATCAGTTGCCTGGAGACACTGCAGTGACCTTTCTGTGCAGTCCTTTGGGATGCCAGCCTCCAGGCGGTGGCTGGAGATCTCCTGGGATCACAGCTGATCTCCAGGCGACAGAGATCAGTTCCCCTGGAGAAAGCAGCCACTTTGGAAGGTGGACTCCGTGGCATTGTACCCCACTGACGTCCCTCCCCTCCCCAAAGCCCGCCCTCTTCAGGCTCCACCCCCAAAGCCTCCAGGTCTTTCCCAACCTGGAGCTGGCAAGCCGACACTTGCCCTACGGAAAGGCCTAGCAGAGAACCAAAGGAGATGATTTTGAGAAAGAGGAATAAAGCCTTTTGATCCTCTAGCGCTGGGGTGTCGAACTCATTTGTTATGAGGGCCGGATCTGACATAAGTGAGACCTTGTTGGGCCAGGCCATGTGTGCCATAAAATGTAATGTCAGGTAGGGGAGATCTCAACTGTATTAAGGACACAAACACAAAGGGGTTTTTTTTTAACTTATTGCTTAAAACATTAGCACTCCTGCAATATTTTGTTTATTTAACAGTGTCTGATAACGGA